TGGAAAACCTGGAAGACACTGAACACTAAGCGTCGCTGGTCGAATCAGTCACTACTGCATTGGCCATCGACTAAATTAAATCCAAATTCGTCTTCTTCGTCACTTGGTTATACACACTCGCCCCAAAACTTGGGCATCTGTTGCTTCTCCGTCGACATCGGCCGAAGTAGCCTTGCAACTTCCACCCACAATGCTGGAAAACCTTAGGCATCTTAAACTTATCAAATCGCTGAAATGTTTCCACTGCAAAGGGCAGTAAATCCCGCCGCTACTTTCGTCGTATTGCCGTTGAAGAATATCTTCACATACCCAAACGTGTATTCAATAGAATTGAAAAATGGGCAGTAGGCAGGCATGAAAATAGGTACGATGCCGATGCTTCTTAGATAATAAACGATTTCCGGTTGTCTGTGAATCGAGGCGCCATCCAGAATCCAAACCGAGTTCGAGCCTGGATATTGACGAACACAATTGCGATTGCTGTATGCAAAGTTTTGGCACGACTCCAAAACCTCGATACGGTTGAACGTGCCTTGGGTATCGAATCAGTCGATAAGACCATCCACTCCAATAAATGCTAACACCGAAATCCGTGGCTTCCTCTGAAAGTCGCCCCGAATAGCTAGCTTCTGACCCTTAAGAGAGTAACCTCGCTTTCGGATCGTTCCTCGGTTGTCGAAGGACACTTTGTCGAGGAACACAATGTTCTGATGACTTCAGTCAATGTGGCTCAATTCTTCGACGAATCTAAAAACATCCTGCTCTTCAATGTGCATTGCACGACGCTCTAAAACTTTGCACGTAAGACCACAGTCGTGTATGATTCGCCATACCGACGACTTAAAAATTGAAATTTTGTGTGTGCGTTGGAAGGCAGCTTGGGCTTCGTCTAAATAGGCTAGTGGGCGCTCTGCGTAGAGCTCGTACAACTATTTTCAGTGCTCGACCGTGAACGTTTTGCTCCCGTTTGTCTGAGCACGCTCGAAAGTTCCTGTGGACTCAAAGACCCGAATCCAGTTGCCGATGATGAACACGTGGG